TCTCCTCATACTCAGGGACGTTGGCCCACGCTGCGTCGTGGTAGACCAGGAGGATCAGATCGGAGAAGTTCCCGAGCTTGGAGTAGCTCAGCTTTTCATCCTTGGCCTGTTGCGCCATGCGGGCCACCTGGTTAGTAGCCTTGATGTCCTCATAGGTCGGGCTCTTCTGTCTCCTCTGTGCCATTGACACCCCAGCTTGTAGGTCTGGCCTTGTCTGAGAGGCAAGCCAAGACAGTGCCCCGATAGTGGATTGATTGTCCAGTTTTGCGACTTTCCTTCCAGGTCAACTCCTTGGGGATGTCCACGGTTTGCAACCTGGTATTGACATAGTGCTCCTGGCTCAAGGAGATTTCGTTGGCAGACTGCTTGATGGGCACCCCACAATATTCTAGCCCATCTTTTGCATCATCCCATGTGTCGATAGGGAAGACGTCGGACAGGGCCTCTTCCATCTTGTGCCGGAGGTCCAACTGGGCAGAAATTGGATGTCGTCGACACGAGTAGCCAGTAGCCCATGGATCTCCTTCTCCTCGTTGATAAGAAGGAACAGGCAACTGTCCAGGTAGGGTTGTTCCAGGCTCAAGGTCGTCCCTTTATATTCAATCTTGATGTCTTTCAAAGTTCCTGCAAGCTTGTCCCACCATAGACGTCGCGAGGTTGAAAGACCGAAGACCCCTTTGACAATCTCGATGAGTGACCCCTCCTCAACTCCCTCCAATCCCGTTGAAGGTGGTTCAAAGTAGAGGTCTCGCCGAGCTTCAACTCCATTAAGGAATGCAGCCAGCGACCAGCCCAGCTGCACGGTGAGGGAGATCAGACATGTAATAGACACCTTGGTTGCTGTTGGTGCCTCAGTGTTTAGCTGGCCGGCTCTGAGATCAGGGTCTCGGTGTCCTCCAACACATAGTCGAGCTTTTGCCTTTGGAGGCACCGAAGGATCTTCTCTTCGTTTGGCACAGTTCTTGTCTCGGTAGGCAAATCGTGCTTTCAATATCCTTTCTTTGGGAACCCTTTTGCGAACTCCGGCCGCGATGTGAGCCGGGAGGATTTTGATGGCCTGGTACATGAGATGCTCGCCCCATTGTTTCTTCTCGGCTTCCTTGCGCAAGGCGATCTCATCCTCGGGTTTTTGGCTCCATTTCAACTCTTTGTCCGCTTGTTTCTGTAGTGCTCGTGGTACTCTGTCACTTGAAGCCATGTAGCAAAGTAGTTCATCGTCTTCAGGAACTGGGACATTGGCAGGGACCATTGGAGCATCTCCCTTCTGCCTCATTCTCTTGACTGGGACTAGCTTCTGTTCGGCTTCTCGTTTGTAAGCCCTTGTTCTCTCTTCTTCCTCATCTCCGGGAAGTCCGTCGCCTGGTTCGGTAGGAGTGTAGTCCATCTCGGGGTGTTCAGGTTGATGAGGTTCACTTTCTCCAGTGGCGTCCGCAAAGACCTCAGGATCGTCAACCTCCATCCCTTCGATCAATTGCGTTATAGGTCCTTCTTGACTGCGCGGGCTTGTAGTGCAGCGCCAAGTTCCTCGGACTCTGCTAACCTGAGGTGTTCGCGAGCACATAGAAGGCAGCGACCCCCTCTGGACACCCAGAAGTTCTTTCCTTCTTGACCCACCACAATGCCAGGTCCAATCCATTCTCCAACGTTTTGCCTCTTTTGAGCGACTCCGCCTGCGACCTTTGAAGTGCGGTAGATGTAGACATACTGTCCTTGCTGAAAATCACCATGCAAAACCCGGGGACGGCCATGCAGTGCTCGTTGAAGACTTTCAGTTGCTTGTAGTTGGATGTAGGCTTCACGAGCTGCTTGTCTTATATTGGCTCGTCTCTGCCAGTCCTCAGATGCTGCAGCATCATCGTCTCCATCAACTAGACCGATGCCGAGCTTAGGGGCTATCCCAAACAACCACTGAGCAGGTGAGTAGCCGTGCCGTCTCCTTAGGTAGTTCTTGGCTTCTCCAACGGCGGCGAGAACCCATTCCGTTTCGTGGTCTTGCATGGAAGTGTGCTCCTTCACCCGGTCGAACATTTGGCGGAACCATTCATTTTGTCGTTCGACATGACCATTTTGCCAGTGGGCTTGCCCGGCTGTGTATTGGACATTGATTCCATGTTTCCCCAACTGTGCTGGGAAGTCTTTCATGAGCCCCCGTTCTTGATCGACTAGAACGGTTGTAGGTGCGCCCGCCCAAGCCATCCATGCGTGTAGGAAACATCCCGCATTGTCCCCTCCTTTTCTCCCTGTCACTGGGTACACGAGGTGGAACCGTGACTTTGGTCCCTTTGCAAGTGTACAGGTGCATGGTGTCCACGGCGACCTCCTCATTGAAGTCGAGCGGTTTCACCACCTTGGCGGGTCTTCGGCTTCCTGCCGTAGTGGATCGGCAGCACGTTTGACACCGTAGTTGTTGGCAGGCCTTCACCACCTGTGTATCGGCTCCTGCAAGACGAAGGTGTCGAGCCAGATCCTCATTTGATGGGTGTCCCATGTTCTGGTGGACCCTCCTGAGAGCACTTGCGATGCTCTTTGGCACGTGGCTGGGGAATGAGATGGCCGAGGCGCCCTCATCGATCTTGACGACGGAGAGGTCCTCGCTAGGTCCTTTTAGTGGCCCATCTCCTGCTCGGCCGGGTAGCAGACAACTCTCGACTGCGAACGCATCCAGGATGGTTTGTCTCCTTTTTCTCATAGCCATGTGGCTTCTTACAACCGCTCTCGAGAACTGAGGGGTATATTGGGCCTCGTCCGTGATGTAGACAGTTGTCGGCTTCTTGAGCAGCTCACCATCAGTGACGGCCCTGAGGTCGAAACAGCACATGTCCAGCTTCACCTCATGGAAAAAAGGATCTTGTAGGAGATCTGGAATCGAGGGATCCTTCCACATGGCAGAGTTCCTCGGGTGCTCAAATTATCCAACATGGCGGCCTTGTTCAACTTGTTTGAGGGCAACCTTGACGGCGAAGCGAATCAGTCTTCGCTGTTTGGCTCGAAGTCGACGGAGTAGTTGTGGTCTATCCTTGTAGTTGATGTTCGTCCATGGTCCCCATACCGTGCAGGGTAGTGCAATCCAGACCAGTTCGGGCTTAAAGTAGTCCACCTCCTCCAGGATCTTTTCTTGTTGTTCGGGTTGGAAGAGGTCGTGTCCAAAGCGGAGATCTCGTGGCTCGAGGACATTCAGCTTGGCCTTGGCATACTCGAGAGTCAATTGAGCGTGGCCACAGAAAAGTTCCAGAAGGGCAACCGGTTCTCCTTCTCCGCCACGTAGGGAAGTAGGCCAGATTTTTGTTCTGCCCAAGACCTTAGCGGGTCAGTGGTTCGCTCAACCGTCTCCAGCGCCGTGGCAGAGAAGGCCAGGAGTGTTGTCATAAGGCAGCGCAATGTTTGTCTAGCCCAACCGCGAACCCCTTTCCTGGCGACCCTCTTCACTTTGTGGCTAGGCAATTGTCTGACCTGCTCATAGTCATCCGGATAGTGGAGGTTCACCTTGGGCACCAGATCCACGGTCTCACTCAAGTCCCCATCTGTCCTCGGACGAGACCTTATAGCTTTCCTTTTCTCCAAATAGGTTGAAGATGCCGTAGGCGGTGTCCCCCTCATAGTGTGTCTCTTGAGTAGTCTCCCTGAGTTCATAGTGCCTCCACGATCGGTCCGAGCCCTCTTGGCCTTGATGGCCTCGTTCACTGCCGACCAGTAGGCTCTTGACTTGACGCGGCAAGCTGATCCTGGAGGGCCTTGACCGTCTTTTCCAGAGCCTCAGGTAGCTCCGCAGGAGGAGGTGCATTCACCGGTGGACTCCGGGTCCTTAGTAGCCCTGCGGCTTGTTCTTGGAGATGGCGTCGACCTTCTTGGACTTGTTCTCCTTGGCCCAACGCGCAAGCCGGATCAGGTCCGGCGAGCTGTTGTCGCCCGTCTCCGTGATCGCCCAATCCAAGTAGCTTGAGGGCACCTCGCAGTAGCGGTATCCCTTGTACCTGCCAAACGGTACCAGCTCCTCTGGGGTGGCTGGTACGTTGTCCCGGATCAACCGCATCAGCAGGCCTCGAGTGGGAATCTCTATTCCCGCCTTGCGGGCTTTGGTGATCAGCTGGTCGAGCTTCATGCTGGAGAGCCCCATGAGCTCGTTGTGATGCGGGTCCTCCTTCTGCTCGGAGATGATGGAGCCGGAACAGTCCATTCCTTGCGAACAGTGATGCCCATCTGGCTGGACGAGTGTCTCCACCAGCTCCGCCTTGTTCATTTTCCATGGCGAGATGGTCGGGGTCGAGGACATCCGAAGAAAGGCTGGGGTCGGAGGGCAAGACACCTGTTGATGTCTGCGACTTGAGTCGTCTTGGAAAACGGCTCCGTCCGACCCATAGAAATCTCCAAGATCCGGGGGCAGCGTCGCCCCACTGAAACAGATGTCATGAGAGTGCATGTGTTGTGCAAGGAATGGCAATGGTTTCACAATCTCCCTCTAGTTGTTCCAGCAGTTTGGTTTTCAACGTCTGGTTCGATGTAGTCCATGTCCGGGGATCAAAGGATGTTCTTCGGGGTGTGACGTGGATGCGGTACATGTATTCCGGGGTCTTGATCCAAAAGTCCCTATAGCAATCCTTCGATCTCCACCAATTCAAGAACGCTTCATGGTGCAACGGCTCAGCGATCAACGTATCATGTACAGCTTCCGTCAACTTCTTTGGATAAAACAACTGCGACTTCGGCGGCTCACCATATATACCTCTTGCGACTGAGGTACAAAGATCTCAGTGAGACTCCAGTCAATCCGCTCCGGCCACAAAAGCAGAGCCGGCTTGGTGCCAGTCACAGAAATTTGTGGGTGGCCGGAGGAACTCATAATCAAAGACACCTGGCTGACGCCCAGTGTGCCGAAGTCAGCAAGGCCCTTGGCGATGTTGTAGTTCATCCCTATAGCTCACTCGTCTAAGGAGCAAGGGGACGTCGGCACTGACCACACTGATCTTGGCCAGGAACCATTTGTTCTTGAATGGCGAGCCATGTCACCACCGCCATCTTGGAGGGATAGAGTCTCTCCCCCCAAACTTGAAGATCTCCTCTTGTGGAAGCGCAAAGAAGGGAATGTGCTCGGCCTTCAGGTAACGTAGGAAGGAGGTCATCCATGTTTTGCCAGCCAACGTCCTGCTGCACGCACAGTCGGTGATGGCCAAGAAGCTTTGCCCCCCTTTTTCACCCTTCTTGTCCGTGAAGTAGACCATGTATAGATCTCGAAGACCAAGTTCCCCCGTCTCCACGAACTTGTTCACCTCGTCGTTCACGTCGTAGTGTTCCCCAATGTCCATGATCCCGAAGTCGATCTTGTCCTCGTGGGAGTCCATGATGTAGGCGCCCCCCAACGTCCTCACCATCGGGGAAGTCAACCAAGTAGTTGCTGCTGTCAACCGAGGCGGTCATGTACACCACATGGGTGGTGTGTGCGGTCTGTCCAGCTTTTCCTTTATTGGCCGGACATTCTGGATCCTTGTGCCAGTGACCCTTCTTGTGGCAAACGGAGCAGTAGCTTCGCGCCTTGGCTGATTTGAGACGATCTTCTTTGGACTGGGAGAAACCTCGGTCCATTTGCTCTTGGCGTTCTGGAAAGCCACATAGGCCTCCTGGGTCGCCTCATCCCCCTCGAAGATGTCCATGTCCTCATCGTCCGTCAGGGTGTCCTCAGAGTCGTGGTCCTCCTCGTGGTTCTCGTCGACGAGAGGTTGGTGTTTCTTTTTGTCATCGGTCCTCCTGTCCCCGGAGCGTCTGTCTCCGTCTGGCCTCCTTTCCCACATCCTCCGGTTCATACGATCCTGAATGATCGCAGCGTCTTGAAGCTTGCTGAGGGTGTAGGATATCCATGCGCCTTGTCGACATACCACCATGCCAGACAGGCGTCCGGCAGTGCACATCCAACTTCTTTCAACCTGCTAACCTGTCGGTCGAACTCCTGGTTGAAGTCCCGGATGTCCTGCTGACTGAGTGTTCCGCTTGAGGACTTTGAAGAAGTCGGACATGTAGCGGCCGATCTTTGTCACCTCGCGGTCCATATAGTTGGACTTGATCCAACCCACAAACACCTCGACTTCGGAGTCGAGCAATCCAAGCTCGAGCTCTTCAGCATCACGCCATGCCCGACCTGTGAGGTTGTTGTAGAGCATCAGGGCCTGTTTGGGGCGCGTCAACCTGGTCACACGCCTCCAGGCCTCGATCTTTCGGATGTTCAAACCATCCCTATCATCTTCACCATTGTACTCGGGAACCTGAATCTTGTCTTGTCCTCCAGCTCCACCTCGACGGTCTTCGCGTCCTTGCCATGGATCTCCTTGGTTTCCCCACCAAGGATCGTGACCAATCTCCTGACTTGCCGTAGACGCCGCCGACGCTGTAGGTCCCAACGAAGATGCTGCCCTCGCACCATCTCCAGACCCAACCCCGGGATCTCCCGAGGGCGCGGACCAGGCGCAGTAAGCATTCCACCTTTTCCACTCCTGCTCACTCCAACCACCCCATGACCTTTCCGTCGGCGTCCCCGGCCTCATCTCCTCAGGACCAGCTGGAAGTGCTCCTTCATCATCCAGGTCGGCCTCCTGAACGCTGCCATCCTCGTCGGTCGTAGGCATGCCCACAGAGTAGCGACCCCTGCCACACTCACCGTGATCTCAACCACCTCTAACAGCCCTAGAAGTCCCCACGCACGGCGAAAGGAGTATGGCTCAACGCTACCAATGTAAACTGGCAAGGCATACGGGCCTTTTCACAAGACAGCGAACGCTTGTGCCTTTAAAGCAGCGGCCGGCAGGGTCAACTGAGTGTCACGTTTACAATAACCAATGGAACCCGGGTATTTTCCCCTAGGCGCCTTTTCCCGGAGAATTCACATTATGACCTCTCAATGGTGCCTCTTTGAAAACACAGAGAATTTAATAGAAGATTCGTCGGGAGCTGCAGGAGGATGGGTTCAACTGAGGAGATTGCACAAGAACGAACACTTTCGATTTCAGCTGCTCAAATAGTTGTAGGGTTCCCAACTGAGCCCGACGCCGGTTCCCAACTTGAGCAAGCCTGTGTGCCACATGACAAGTTGTTTCCTGCTTCACACTCTTGCGCCACAGCGCCCAGGCAGCTTCAGCAGCCCCTGAGAGAACAGCGGATGGTTCTGCATCGCGGGGTCGTGTTCTCACTATAGAGTCTGTGGCTGGGCAGAAAGCGTTGCTTTTGACTTTGATATGTAGGGATCCTGGAGGACGCAAGTCTTTTTGAAAGGCGCTGCAAGTGTCCCCTTCCGTTGGGTTGTTGAGCAATTCGCCTGTTTTTTCGATTTGCCTACTGTAGATCTTTGGACTTTTAATCAGACATGCATTGGCTTCTTGCTTTTGTGACTGGACTCCAGGCACGTTCACGCAAAAGGGAGGATTCCTGATTCTTGATACCCTCTGGTAAAACTTGCAGCACGGAATATTGAAAAGGGAACCGTTTTCACTGACAATGATGGATTCCACCTTGTCATGAAGGACGCTTATTTGTGTTTTCTGCGATCTCTGTGCCCAGGCACCTTTGCCAGCGCCCGCAGTAGCTGCTTGGAATAGATTTGGCTTCCAATACTTTCCAAGAGATGCCACTCCCATTTGGATGCCGAGTCGAGTTTTATTGTGTGTGGCTTCGGCATCTCATGGGCGAGTCGAGAATTTATCTGCAGCATCTCCACCTCAGTCATTGAGTATATTGAGTCGAGCCTGAGGCACCAGGGGCTGACGCTGAGGCTTTGGGGTTATGGACAGAATTCGGACCAGCCTGTGCTGTGACTCTCAAGTTCCCACGTGTAACAAGGATATGATATAGAAATGCCTTCCTTCAATCGATAATTGGTTCAGAGAACTTTATGCAGCATTAGGACCATAAGAGCAAAGCCGTTGCATGATAATTGCTTCAGATAGATTCATTGAACAAACACAAACAAGCAAAGGACTATGGACTGGTGCTTGTCAGCTTCTGAATCTGGCGATGCTTCCGGCGCAGCGAAGGCTCTGGATGCCCCCATCGTCAGCGCTGTGGAAATTGAGGTGAAGAGACCAGTCCCCGTGTCATGGCGGCACCTCCGAGGTCCTCAGCCGAGACACCGTGGCGGTCCGTTTTGGTCCGAGGTCTTGGCTCAGAACTTGAGCACTGCTCCGGGCCTACCATGGGTGAATCGGGCGATCTCGCACTTCCTTACACTTTGTACCACTGGCCACTGGTGTACATTCTTGTTGAGTCGTACAGCAAGCAATTTTGGTAAATCAGTGCTTTTTCAAGAACTTAATTACGAAAGCCAGACGATAGTAATAGGCGGTGTAGGGGGGTGGGGAGAGTAGAAAAAAGAGGCAGTCCAAAAGGTAGTGAACATGCATGTTTTTGAAGGTCTTCGTGATGCGAGTGATGCAAATGACACTGAGACGTGCATCACTAGCATCACAAAGTGCTCAGGAGAGCGCTTGACTTTCATTGCTCCAGTAGCTGAATTGAAATCGATGACTACAGGTGCTTGACATAGTTCCTTTTATGTAAGCAGATTGATTGGAAAAGTCCCCGCAGTCTAAGAATATGTTGGAGGTGCCTGTTTTTGGCGTGAAAAGGGACATTTGTACAAGAGCGTGGGGTCCTCCTATGACCAGTAATAGTGGATGGGGGTCAGTCAAGGCCTTGTATATTATAGGCTCTATCATATCGAGGTGCAATGTGAAACTTTGCATATCTCTGCCTTCTGCTTTCCCGTGGCCAAAAAACGGAAGAAGATGTAAGAAGTAAGTGCAGACTTCACCCTATAGGAACAACGATATTTTATTGACTTCTCAATCCCTACAGGGGCTGGCTTTCGACCCCTCCCTTGTCAGGTTATCTTAGTTATATTCATATTTATATCAGTTACTGTGGAATGGAACGACTTTCCCATGTTTGAATGCAGCGTGACTTTGAGGTAGCTGCATGCACCTTAAAGGGTTTGAAAGGATGGGCAACCACAGCAAGTTGGCTCCAATTTCAGCATGTTGCCTGAAATTGGGCCGGATGGAAGCTGCTTCTGCTTCTGGCTTTGCAAATGGTTCCCGACACACTTGTGATCCACCTTGGCGACAATGAAAGAATCAGTCGAACCAAAAGAAACACGAAAGTGACAGAACTGATTGAATTGGACCGACTAGAACTCTGAATCTGATGGATTGTGGAGTATCTCCGACGCAGTGAACATTTGTTCTGTGTTTTTTGGGTTCATGGGCAACGAAGGAGCTATTGACCCAACTGAAATCAAGACGATACTGAAATTCAAAAGCAACCAAATCCGAAGCCGTTCCCGGAAGCCGTCGATCGTATTGGAGGGTTTCAGAGGCACCCTGGACCTCCTGCACACACACAAATACAGATTCCCCACAAAACTACAAAGTTTGACCTTAATCTTCCTTTCACACGCGTTCAATATCATCCAATCCTTTGAGATTCCACAGACATTTTAATGCAGGGGTGACTCAACCCCAACATATTCTGTTTCCAGGACTCAGAAATTTATTCTTTGTAGCTTCCTTTTATCTGAGAAGGAACCTGGTCCGCAGCCTGTGTTTTTCAAGGCTAGCCAAATTGTTGCTAATGATGTAATGTGGTTGCTACGTACAATTTCTCGATTGACTTCCCGACACGCAACCTGCAAGAGCTGTACAAGCCTCCTCTCGCACCACTCATAATCGACAAGGTGGCTCTTGATGGGCTAGACCCTGTGCCTTGGAGAAGATGCTATGCGGGTGGGCTGATGGTGCAGTTCAATCATTGTTTCTGCGCAACAAGAGACACTATAGTCACTTTAGTTTTGAGCTTCGATAGGGAAGATTCAGAGGGTTTGCGTGGGTATTCTGGGCACACAACCCAAAGTGGCTCAGAGCACTTGCTGCAAGCCCCATGTTTGGATTTGCAGATGGTGAGCACACTTGGTGGGATTTGTGATTGATGCTTCTGAGTCTGCCCAATAGAATAATCTGGATCGTGTTCATCGGCTGATCTGGGCTGAGGCTTCATGTCGTGTCTTAAGTTCAGAATCGTCCTTAAGCTCGAGGAGTGGTGTGAAGCCAAAAGAAGCTCGGTCATAGAAGAATGTTGGAGGCCGAGACTCCTAGAAGAGAAACAATCAACTTCATCTCCAAAACGCTGTCTGAGGGACCATATGTTTCATGGGACAGACTTGACTAGAATGACCATAAACTCAGAAATTGGTGACATGAAGGCCACTTGCAAACGGATGAGGGCATTGGATTGGATAGAAAAAGACACTGTGCAGTTTGCCAACTTGTGACAGACGGACTATATCGATCTGCTTGAGCTGCTATTTGTGACAAAGGATATGTCCATCTTCATTTTTGCCTTGGAATGCTTTGGATCATCCCAATCTCCTCATAGAATTGTTGCGGGCTAAAACTTTCAGCGGCTGATCACAGTATTTCTTACTCCACAATGTTCTGAAGGCAGAGCATCCAAAGATATCCAACGGGTGAAGCTCCGTGTTTGGTTTCCAATCGGTTTGGGACTCCATGTGAAGCACTAGTTGGCTTGTTGGCTTGTTACATGTTGCTATGGATTGCGTCGACTCAGATGCCTGCCACTGTAGCCTCAGCTTCTACGGTGGCGGCCTCCAATGAGACCTCTCGGGAGAGCCAAGCCCAGGCAGTGCCTTGGGATATGGAGAGCCAAGACAATAGTAGCGTCCTGTTGTTACTAGTAGTAAGGCCAGGAGCCCCTAGTAGCCTCCTTGCTACTAGTAGCGATGCCCTTTGTTACTAGTAGCGTCTTTGTGACTAGGACGGGGGGATTGTGTCAAAGATGTTTGTTTTTGATTGTTTTGCACTAGGTGCCGGCTGGGGCCGTCGCAAGCGCCGGTTGCCCTGCACATCCCTGCTTCACCTAAAGAACTGCTTGTGCTGCGGTTCCCATGGTTCTGCCATGTACTGTATATACTTTCATATTCCTTTTCGTTCTTTCATTCATTATATGTTGAATATTGTCAACGACGCACAAAGGTTCCGACAGCAGCGCGTGAAGGAAACAGGAAAAGAAGAACGCAGAAGACTGGCTTTGTTGAACATGTAGCAAGTGAGAGGAAATTGTTGACAAGGTGCCAAATTTTGAAGTTCACTGGAGGAGAAGCAGAAGGCCAACCATCAACTAGAACAGCAACTGACATCAACCAAGTGAGCAAAAACGGCCAATGCAAACAATATGTTTGGGTTTGAGCGCAGTGGACTTCAGCAAGTGCTGGGAACATTGAATAAATATATACTTTACTTCGAGTGATCCCCACCATGACATTTCAAAACAACCACGTTGACATCACCCTCGTTGTGTATTTCAGCCCATAGCACAAGTCCTTCAGGGCCAAGTCTTACTGTTTTGTCCGAAGCGAATGCTTTCATCAGGAGACCTGTGCCCAACTAAAAATACAACTCAGATCATTCCGGGGCCCGAGCAGTAGTAGTAGTAGTAGTAGTAGTAGTAGTAGTAGTAGTAGTAGTAGTAGTAGTAGTAGT